GAGGCTGGGGCCGCGCGGCGCGGCGCGGCGGCTCCCTCCACCCGGGGCGGCTGAATCACGCGGCCCTCCCCCGCCGAGCTCACGGGGAAGCCGGGCCAGCCCCGCTCCCCGCGGGCATGTGGGCGCCGCGCGGCTTTTCTCAATGGAGCCGGAGGACGGCTGGGGCTCCTGCCGCTCCGCTAGCGCGCTGCCCCGCCGCTCTGGCTCCGTCGCGTGCAGCTCGGCAGCCCCGCTCCCTCCTTCCCGCACATGATTCCCCCACCCCCTTCCTCCCCCCGCTCCTCCTCCTCTTCGCCGCGATCAATGTCCCTTTTAATCAGCCCCGCGCACCCCCCGCGCCAGCAGCTCCTCAATGGATACAAGCATGGAACGTCTCAATGGATACATTCTCTCGGCCAGCCAATGGGGGCGCGCGGAAGGGCCGGTTGCCGTGGCGACGGGCCGGCTGGAACAGGTTGTGTTGATGAGTTTGTCATTCACAAAAACGGAAAGGAATTTCCGCTCCGGATAAGCCGAGTGCAAACAAGCGGCTCAGCGGGGGGAAGGAGAAAGAGGAGGAGCGGCCCGGGGGGGGGGAAGGGGCAGGTGAGGGGGGACACAGCCGGCCGCGGCTCAGGTTTCCTCCTGCCGAAGCTGGGCTGAGCGCGGACGGAGCCAGCGGTGCAGTTATGCGAGGAACAAAAGGCACCTTCTTCCCCCTCCAGATCCCCTCCTAATCCTTAAAAGAACCGATGCCACGAAGGCGGATTCCCTCCCCCCCCCTTCCCTTCCCCCGCTTCTTCCTAACTCGTTGGCGTTGATCTCAGCCGGGCTTTTCATTAAAACACCCTTGCAAGCCTGCGCTGCGCCAGGCGACTCGGCGGCGCTAGCTCTGTCCCCGATTGATCTTTGCAGCGGGGAAGGAGTTAAAGCCCGATTCATAGAAAACGGGGGTCGGGAGGGGCCTCGGGGAGGGCATCGCGTCCAACCCCCTGCAGGACCAACTAGTGCAGCACCAGCCCCATCTGCTCCAGCCCCCCTGCGGCAAGCAACTGGATCCCCCGGACTAGATCACTCCGGCCCGGGCTTTGTCTACCCGGGGCTCAAAAACCTCCAAGAGTGGGGAGGCCCCCACCTCTCGGGGTAACTTCTTCCCGACCCCCTGCGCCGCCCGGATTTGCTTTCTGAAATCAGACCCCCCCCCCAAGAAAAACGGAAAGCAAAGCGGCCCCGATCCGGGGGGCAGGAGCAGCACAGGCCGAGGGGCTCCGAGCTCGCCGGCGCCGGCCCTGGCACACCCGGGCGGGGGCGGGGGGTGGCGCTCGGGCCCGTCACGTGGCGCTCTGCCTCGGTGGCAGCTCCCCGCCAGCTCGCCCGAGGCTCGGGAGGCCTGTGCGCCGCAAGCCCTCGGGACCCCGCCGCGGGCAGTGCCGAGGAGAACGGCCCTTGCCTTAGAGGCTTCCCCCGCG